TCATCTCGGTGAGAAGTTGCCAATTTCACTTTGGCAGGTAAGGCAGCCCACTTCCCTTTCGTTATTCAGATACTTGTCTATAGTATTAAGTTGTTGCTTTGAGTTCATGGTATACCAAGTTAAAGAATTGTGTTGAGATCCTTCCTAAATGAACCTTCTAAATTTATTCCTCCATATCATCATAGACCTCGAAGTGAGGTTTCTTTTGTTTTCAAATTCCTTAAATTCATTTTATTCTGGCATAAGTTTGGTCTTGAGAAGTAGTAAGGTACTTGTGTAGCTGTTCTAGTTGTATGCATCTATATATAGGCCACAGGTATTTAGGTAGTTTTTAAAAAGTTTTGTTGCATTGTATTCTATTTGCAGCGTGAAATGACAGATTCAACTGTTCTGAGGAATATGGGCGAAGGCTTAGGACATTCTCTTCTCACCTACAAAAGTGCATTGCAGGGAATAGCAAAGCTTCAGGTATGTGATATAACACATGTAAAGCGCCTTCTCTCCTAAGAAGTGCATGCAAAGCAGTTCATTGTTGTGCTTCTTTTTTGCAGTAGAATTGAGTTCTCCTCCTCCCCCAACTCCTCCTCCTTCTTGATAATGAAGCTTCCATTGAGGGTTAGCTGATTAAGATATCGTGATTGCTGGAGAATGCTTTGATTGCTTCTACATTCAGCTTTTGTTCTGATTGAACTAAATATCTCATTTAGGTTAATGAAACTCGCTTGAGTGAAGACTTGAATCAATCATGGGAGGTGCTTTCTGAACCAATACAGACCGTATGTACCTTTCCTTTTATCGATCTTTAATTTTCTTGTCTCACTTGTACAAAATGTCGTTTCTCAATGATTCTTTAGATTGATGAATCTTGAGTCTTTTCTATCTAAGCTCAAAGTTTTCTACCTCCAATACTGTTTACTAGTTTTGAGTCCCATCATATTCTTAAATCATTCCTAATCCTTTGGAATGTCAAATTCTGCACTGGTGATGCGCCGATATGGTGTTCCAGAGCCATACGAGAAGCTGAAAGAGCTAACCAGGGGAAGAGCAGTTACCAAAGATAGCATAAAGGAGTTTGCTGAAGGCCTGGAATTACCCGAAAAAGCAAAGGATTATCTTTTGGAGATGACACCCCACACCTATGTTGGAGCGGCCATTGAATTGGGTCAGACTGTAGATATTGCTATCAACTTGGTAAATGGGGTGACAACTTTATAAGATGATGGTGGAAAGATGTTAAGGATCACCAGCTATCATATTGTTGTACCAAAGAATCAGGTATATGTGGTCCAACTTCAGTTTTGACCGGGTACAATATGATTCACGATATGTTTTGATGGGGGGGATAGAGAAACTAGATTTCCTGCTTGAATATTGTAAAATTGCTATTGAAATGATCGTGTCTTGTAAGCCTATTAAGAAAACTCGAGGTGGGAATTTTGCAGCCAGTCTTATTGACCTTATGATCAATTTATCTGGCCTGATTTTACTGTTCCCCCTTTTTTAATCTCCGAAACTAGGAGGTCTCTGGGAAATTTGGTCAAGTTCTTTCTGCTGGGAATGATGATCTTGAAGCGGATCATTTTTTGAGTGAAACCTAATTGGCGACACTTATCCACTTCCAAAGAAAGAATTAGTGAATGAAGCAATAACATCAGTCGAGACCTGAATATTTTTTTTCGAGCAAGTTTTCTTGGTTACTTTTGAGGGTATATAACAAAAATTCTGCAGAACTAACAATTCTTTGGTTTGGAATTAGTGATAATCGAAGTAATCTTGCCCAACTCGCGATATCTTATATCAGATCCCTGTTAACCATCGTAAATTATCATCTGTCCTGGTCAAATGTCTGTATAGAATACGATAAGAAGCTGGCGAATGGGCCACCAATGTGAAAATTTAGTGGCACTGTGTCCAATAGAGCATGTGGATTCTGGTATTCCTTTCCTGCTGCAACAAACTACAGACCTCATGAGCTCAATACGTAATGCAAACAGCAGGCTGTTAAAGTATAAGACGACAAAAATGTTGGGCTTGCTATGACCATATCTCATTGATAAGAGCAGAGCCACATATATTTGGGAGATGGTAATTAACCTGACCCGAAAGCCACTGGATCATCCTATCTACTCTGCACAATCCACGTGGCATTACGCAGTTAACTGCTTATCTAGTTTACACTCCATTCCAAGGTTCCATGCCCAATACTCAAATATTCTGCTAGCAACATTTCAAGAAAAGCAAAGCTTTCGCACTCTTTTTCTGTTTTTCCTTCTAACTTGGACAACCAGCTAAAATGGAGACTGGTATAGCATGCTGTGCTCGAGGGGCTTACTTACCTGGTGTTTCTCAGCAATCAAAAGCTTCAATGTCTCCACGGTCCATTTCTCCGTCCTTCGCTACGAGGGTATATATATCTATTAAATAACACCTGTGTATTACTGATTGCATATAGAAATGTTCTGCATGTTTCAGTATTTCAAGGTAGACTTGGAGATGCGGAAATGAGAGTTTTACATGAATGTCTATTTTTCATGCGTAACAACATTTGTGGGGAAAAAAAGTTGTAAAAGGATGTCTAAAATACATTGCAGAGTCTGAAATCAAGCTCGCTATTTGGGGAGACGTTGCGCTTCATACCAAGATCATCACTAAGGGTTTCAAAAGCAAAGACCTCTTCCCTTGTGACCAGATGTGAGATTGGTGATAGCCTGGTAAGCGACATGATATTTTTTGTAATTTTGTTGCATACAGTTCTAGCTATGATCGTAATAGCTAAAGTTCTTTTCTTCCTTTTTCCAACTGCAGGAAGAATTCCTTGCAAAGGCAACTCCAGATAAGGGACTGATTAGGGTGATGATGTGCATGGGAGAGGCATTGAGGACCATTGCCTTCAAAGTCAGGACTGCTTCCTGTGGAGGAACGGCTTGGGTGAACTCCTTTTGAGATGAGCAGCTTGCTGTGGATATGCTTGCCAACAACCTTCTTTTTGAGGTTTGATTTGAGAAAAAAACTGATTTGTCACTAATTTAAGCTTGCTTAATGATGGACTATAGCTAAATTTTGCTAGATAGCATAGGACAATTGAGAAGGGACACTGGATCCATGAGAAAAACTTCATCATTGAAAAGATTTGTTACATGGTTTTGAGTGGCTTAAATGGATACACTAGGTCTAGCGGTTACATTCTGATTCAATTTGGTGATCACCTTTTGAACACAGTTCTTTCATTTATAAATAACGACTAGTGATTTTGATGCGTAGGCTTTGACTCACTCGCATTTCTGCAAATATGCTTGCTCTGAGGAGGTCCCTGAACTGCAAGACATGGGTGGTCCTGTTGAAGGTCTGCGTATATACAACTAGTCTAAAACAATCAATTTTGACCGGAAATCATTAACTTTTTACCCTGTCTAGGAAGGAAAGTAGCCTTACATAATTTTGATGATATGAACAGGTGGATTCAGTGTTGCTTTTGATCCACTTGATGGTTCCAGCATTGTTGACACAAATTTCTCTGTGGGCACCATCTTCGGAGTGTGGCCAGGAGAAAAATTAACTGGGGTAACGGGGAGAGATCAAGTGGCTGCAGCCATGGGGGTTTACGGTCCTCGAACTACATATGTTCTTGCTCTTAAAGACTACCCTGGCACCCATGAGTTTCTTCTTCTTGATGAAGGTGTGGCTTCGATACTATCATCAAATACTCAACCTAGACAAGGGGCAAATTTTTTTTCACTGTTATGATCATCTCATATTCAGAAAAGCAGTTGCTGTACCCTCTTGCCTTGTTCAGTAATTCCGTTCTATACTGCAGAGAAATCAGGTTTCACCACAGTTACTGGGTGCCTAAATCTATACATTTCTCTCTGAAAGAATCTGTTTGTTTATTTTTTCAGGAAAATGGCAACATGTCAAAGAGACAACAGAGGTTGGTGAAGGGAAACTTTTTTCCCCTGGAAATCTGAGGGCCACATTTGACAACCCTGAATATGAAAAGGTTTTTATTTTACCTTTTCCCGTTTCTATTGAATGGAGGAGGAGGAGATGTTCCACTAATTATCATTATTTGTAAAACACAAGCTGCTCTGTCTCTTACCAATGCCTTTATTTCTCACTCAACAGTTGATCAACTACTACGTAAAAGAGAAGTACACCTTGAGATACACAGGAGGGATGGTGCCAGATGTCAATCAGGTGATTATAACTTTCCCCAGGAAATGTTACTCCCATATTTTCTTTTCGAGGCTGATTCCATAGATGTCTAACGGAGTGTGTTATCCATTATCCACAGATCATAGTTAAAGAGAAGGGTGTCTTCACCAATGTGATTTCTCCATCTTCCAAAGCCAAGCTGAGATTGTTATTTGAGGTTGCTCCTTTGGGGTTATTGGTTGAAAAAGCTGGGGGTTACAGTAGTGATGGTCATCAGTCTGTGCTAGACAAAGAAATAAAAAATCTTGATGACAGAACTCAAGTTGCATATGGATCCAAGAATGAGATTATCCGATTTGAGGAAACTCTGTATGGGAAATCAAGGCTCAAGGCCGAGGGTGTTCCTGTTGGAGCTGCTGCTTAAGAGAAAGTGCTAGCTTCTCATGCCTTAATTTATTTGTTTTGACCAAAATCGAAGCTATCATGTATACGGATTTGTGCAGTAGTGCGTGGAACATTCAAATAATGGAGACCTCTACAATTAAAAGATTAGATTTGTGTGATCATGAAAATTTAGCAGGAATGATGACTTCTCTTTCCTTGGCATGTTTTCTTCTCTGATACGTGTGATTGGAAGTTGAAAATATATAACCACTCTTTAAGGGAAAGTACATATATTTTTTTTCCCTTTTAAAGTCATGTGATCATAATTTTGTACCGGGTTATATTGAAGTTTCTGCTGCTGTTAAGGGGAATTTGCATCCTTTGTTTCAGCTCTGCTCATTTTTCTAATATTTATTTACGAATTTTGGTAATTCAGAGTCAAATTTTTTTGAGTGTTTGTTTTCTCAGAAGTCTATGTGGAAAAATGAGTAATTACACAAAGTAGCTATAGTACTGTCACTTGAGCGGCAATAAAGATGGTTGGTCTTGGAATTATCCCTATTTCTTTGTCTTAATTCTCAGACCATGCCACTCTTTACTTTGGTACTTCTTAGGATTCCTTTACAGCATACCTTGGCTTTCTTATAGTTAACGTATTCTATTTGTCAGCTCAAGATTATCATAATCCTAAGGACATTCGCATGTACTCTATTTAGAGCGAACCTTAAAATTTGATTTCTTGAAAATTGCAAGGTAAAGGGTTTTGGCTGACAAGAGTTGAGACAGAGCTCTATACTAAACAAGATACTGGTAAACATGGTATGCACCTGCTCTTTACATTCAATTTTCTTTCCATTAAAACCAACATGTAACAATGGGAAGCACAAGTTCTTTTTTATTATTTTATTCATTAATTGTTTGTGAACCTTGGAACCTACAAGCAACGACTCTTCGTTTTAGTCTAATCATACCAGCTACCTTCCATGTAGGAGGTCCAAGCACAAGTGGTGAAATGGCGTGGATCGGTTGGAGGCATAGTTGATGCACCTATAGACAAAGTCTGGACAATGGTTTCTCAAACCAAGAAACTAGCAGAATGGATGCCAATGGTGGAAAGATGCACTGACCTGGCTGGAGAAGAAGGTGTTCCAGGTTATGTTCGGTTAGTGTCAGGATTCATGTTCCCTCAACAAGATGGTGACAGATCATGGATCAAGGAGAGGTTGGTTTCTATGGATTCTACATCTCTCAACTATGTTTACAAAATGGAAGCCAGCAATGTCGGTTTGGATGGATCAATAAATACATTAAAACTTGTTGATTATTGGGATGATTCCACACTAGTTAACTGGTCATTTCAGATAGACCCTTTGGAAGGCGCCTCCGAGGATAGCATAATAGATTATCTAGGATTTCTGTATAAATCTGGCATTAACAGGATTGAAGGTGCTATTAAAGCTTCATCGATAGGAGTTTGATTAATATCATGGGTTCCGTCACTGCTAGACTATCCAACAAAGTGCAGTGTTGGTTTGCCAAAATGTGTTCTTTGACTGTTTGGAGTAAATTCCAATGGAAAAGGAAAGATATTTCATCATTTCTCCTTGTACTTTACTTTTTAAAATCTGCCGTGACGTTATCAGCATTTCAGTGAAAACAATTTCTCAGCTTCAAAATTCGGTATTTAACGATCATTACCCACCACGACGAGCTCTTGCGTTCTACTGTGAAGGTACCCTGTTTTTTTTTTTTTTACTGGTGTAAATACGCGCTTCGACAGGTTCTCTACTTGGGCCTTACATAGAGTGTGGGATAATTTCATGGGGCACCCAAACTAGGCAGACTTGGATGTGACTGCAGATTGGTTCATTTTAGAAAGCGCTATCTTCAAGGCCCGAAGATCCATGTCCATTAGGCATAAACACAACATATATAATCATCGACGTCATAGCCACTGATTCTCGGAAAATCACAATCACAGTATAGTTGTTTTAGTCTATAAAAAATTGGCAGATGTAAGGTTATGACGAGATCGAGTGAAGTAAAAAAGGCTTCACACCAACAAAATTTTATATCATGGTTATTACTGGTTTCTGGTTTGCTCTTTTCGATGTTCTACCTCTTCTTTAGTTGCGAGGAATTCCTTGCAAGGTAAAAAACTTATCTAGAAGTGAAAAAGGGACTCAAGAGATCGCCTAATGAAAAATAAATACAATGTGGGTTTGAAAGGTGAAGCAGGTGCAGGATTTGGAAGTTGACAGACAGGTTGAGCTGTACAAACCCATTCCTAATGCTTTCTTTAAGCATTGTGATTCTTGAAAGCCATTTCTCAGCTATAAAGTATGTGTTTTTACTATCACTTTCATGCATTCATGGACACCCATCACCACAATTTCTATCTCCTGCACTTTTATACTCTTCTGGAAGAGTAGTGTCTGCCGTCCTTTTTATTAATATTATTACTAAGAATGTGTTTAGTTATGGTGTTTTTGTAAAAGTATATGTTAATTAAAATAATATTTTTTTATTTTTAATATTAACACGTAAAATATATAAAAAAAATACATAAAAATCATCATTTTCATACCTTTTCACGCCAAAATCAATTTAAACTATAAAAACAAACACTCCCTTGATTTTTTAATACATCCATCAAAATATCCATGCTACTGCTAAAGTACGGGACTTAATACATATCATCACAAAGAAATATATAATAATGGGCCATATGATGGTAATACATCCATCTATCTTTGGCGCATTATACATAGGAGATTTGAAATCATTATTTAATTATCTCTTAATAATTTAAATTTTTAATCTGAGAAAGTTAATTAACATTATATCATAATTTTTATTATCAAATGATTATAAGTCTCATTCTTTCAGTTATTATTTTAAAAAAATCAGCATGAAAAATAATAAAAATGAATAAATTTTAAATTAAAAAGTCTTTCATAAAGAATATGCTAGAGAGTTAATATTACATTTCTTTAATTAAATTAAAATATTCATGACCTTATTAGTTGAGGATGCTATTTTTATACTCAAAGCACTACATTAATCACCATTCAAGAAACTAATATTTTAAAATTTTGAATTAAGATAGTTATTTAATATGAGATTATAGTTTTTATTATCAAATGATCATGAGTTCTTTCATTTAATTACATTTTAAAAAATCAGTATTAATGAGTATGTGTAATTAATTACTTGAGATATTGTGTTATAGAGTTAACATGACACTCTTTTAATGAAATTAAGAAAGCCAGCTCTTAAACTTTTTAGTTAATCAAGGCTTGCTTGTTTTTGTATTTTAAAAATATTTTTAAAAAATATTAATTTTTTTTTATTTTTTTATTTACTTCAAATTAATATATTTTTAGTGTTTTCAAATAATTTTAATATGTTGGTGTTAAAAATAATTTTTTAAAAAAAATTATTTAAAAAGTAACCACAACCATACTCAAAAAATTATTTAAAAAATAACCGCAACCATACTTCCAATATTTATACTCGAAATGCTACAATAGCGAGCACAAAAACTAAAGACACCGTTGAATGTTTATGGTTTTTTAATTTTTTGGAAAGCCAAAACTATCTCATGTTTATGTTCATATTTTTTTAAAGTTATTTATTTAAAATATAGACTTAAATTAATTTAAAAAATAAAAAGGTATATTATAAGTTAAAATATAAAAATTAATAATATTATATTTTTAGTTAACACAGTAATATTGTTACGGCGACACAGTAACATAATTATGTGATAATGGTTTATATGATGTTAATAATGATTGGTTATAATAAAACTAAATTGATAGTGAATTTTATTTTTATTTAAAAAATAATAATAATTGATATGGTGGTGGCCATGATATGATAAAAGTGACTGCAATATTAGAGTAATCATGACTAAAAATATTTACATTATATATATGTGTGTGTGTGTGTTGTATAATTAATGGTGGTGGTGATGTAATTAAAGATAATTATGGTAATATTGAAAAAGAAAATAACGGCGAAGAAATAACAATAAAAATGAAGATTGAGATGGTCTCAACGGACGTGATCATAACAATGAGAATGATATTGAGTGCAATGATGGCTGTGGTGGTAATTTAGTAGTATGGTGGTGGCTATAAAAAATCCAAAATCATAAAATAAAAGATTATATATTTTCTATAGTTTTAAAATTTATTTATAAAAAAATAAAAAAAACCCAGAAATATATCAAACAACATCTAAAACAGTAAAAATCAGAGAGTTGGTACAAGATATTTTCTCTATTAATACTTACTAATATTTACGCAAAAGATATTTTATCTATTATAATATTGTCATGTTAAAATTACTTTTTAACCTCTACATCCAAGAAAAGAATTATTAAGTGTATTTATTATTTTTTTCTCTACTAAAATGCTAATTTTAATATTGAAGGATTCTTAAACACCCTAAAAAAAGATTTTTTATAAGTATTTAAAAGCATTCATCAAGAAAACTTTATCTTAACAGAAGCTATATGTAAAAAACATTTAACCAATCTATAATTCAACCACTAAAAACCTTTCCTTGTAAATACTCCTAATTTGAACAACTCATCGGATTGTCATCATCAAATGTCCATTGGTTTCAATGTACTTGACAGGGGAGTATGCGTACACAACCTTTGCATGAAAGGTATACCTTCTCCATCGAGCTAGAGAGATGGTTCAGTTGGGCTATGTGCATGTTTCAACACACAAGAGGGTTTCAGTCGTTTGACATTAATGACAACAAGGTCTCACTAGCAGATTTCCAATGTGTTGGTCAACTTTGTGTAACATGCAAGAAAACCTGAAACGTTCATGGCGCGCGGGTTCTTTTCATTCACCTAACCAGGTAAAATGACACTGCATCAAAGGTTTATTTTCGTCTATAAAACTTAAGGTGGCCAGTCATGCATTTATGTTTCAAAGGAAGTCAAAATTCAGACACAAAGACAGAAAAAGAGAGAGTGAGAGAGAGGGAGGATGGAGAACTATCGGGCTCGGGCAATATTGCTGCTAGTAATTTCCATTTTTCCAGCTTTGGTGCAGTGCAAGGTCCGTCGTTATGATTTCAGGGTAAGTGTTCATTCTCTGCTGCGTTCTTACGGTAGTCCACCTCTAGCAACCGACAAGGGCTGCCGTTGCCATTTTCGATAATTAAAAAGGAGAAGATCATGCTTAATGTTGTATCTGTGACTAAAATTAAGCATTAATTCGAACAAAACATTAAGGAAACCTTGCTATCTATGGACCATCAAACGTCAGAATTTCTTTTCAGTAGTATAAAATTTTAAAAAAGGAGGCTCTTGTGGTCCGGAACAATCTTATTTCCACTTGCTAGTGTCATAGTGCGGTCACATAAAATTATTAATTAAATTAGGTTTCCGGGGATCAAAATTATTTGATTAGTTTGCTATAATATAATTAAACCCTCATTAATTATACATGATTAATGGTTACTAAAATGAATTCTTCTAATGTGATCTGTTTGATTCATAGAGTCTAAATCAGTTCAATAATTTCCCCCACGTCACATACACTTACCAATGTAAATTAAAATATCATCAATAATTAATTTAAAAGTCAAGCAAGTCTGGCATGGTTACAATACAAATTCTTTAGAGTAGTGTGCCATTTTAGTATCAAGTTGATTTTCCTTCTTTTCTTTCCTCTTCTAAGAACTTCTACTTTACAAAGACAGCAAGTGTCTTTAGAGTTAGAAGTTGTGATCTTGCTTGTGAAAATCACTGTTTATATTGGCCGCTTTAAGCAGGTAGTCCTGACGAACACAACAAAGCTTTGCTCAACCAAGTCCATTGTGACCATCAATGGAAAGTTTCCAGGGCCTACTATTTATGCAAGGGAAGGCGATAATGTCAATATAAAGCTCACCAACCACGTCCAATACAACGTCACCATCCATTGGTAGAACCATAATTAAACCGCACCTGAAGTCTTAAAAATTGGTTTTTGAAAGCTATAGCTAGGTACTTGATTCAAGAGTGATTGTTAGGACGACTTTAATGATTAATTGGAGCCTAAATTTTGTTTTGGCAGGCACGGCGTGAGGCAGCTGCGCACGGGCTGGTCCGACGGGCCAGCATACATCACGCAGTGTCCAATACGGCCGGGGCAAAGCTATCTCTACAATTTCACGCTTACAGGCCAGAGGGGTACGCTTCTTTGGCATGCACATATTTCATGGCTAAGGGCAACAATACATGGTGCCATCGTCATCTTGCCTCAGAAGGGCGTTCCTTACCCATTTCCAAAGCCTGATAAGGAAAAAATCATCATATTGGGTGAGCTCCAATCCTAGTCTTTTTTTTCTCTCCCAATTTCACAGCAATTCTAATGAGTTTCTGCTGCTCATTTTTTTTTTGTTGTCCTATAAAGTCCCAAGATCGACAATTAAGTGATGGTAATTGATTTTGTTAATTATATAGGTGAATGGTGGAAAGCAGATGTTGAAGCTGTGGTCAACCAGGCAACACAAACTGGCTTGCCTCCAAACATATCAGATGCACACATTGTTAATGGCCAGACAGGGGCAGTTCCTGGCTGCCCTTCTCCGGGTAATGACCCTTTTAATGGTTCTGATAAACTCATATTGGGTTATAAAATTGCCACCTTAGAACAAAACTAA